CCCTGGGACGGACCCGAGGAAGGCGCGGACATGGAAGGCGTCGTCGCCGGAGTCTCGGAGCTCGGTCCTTTGCCATGAGCCTCGGCAGCAGCAATAGCAGGCGCCCCCTGCTCGACAATAGGAGGGTCCACATCGGGCGCCACCGACCTCGAGGGCACTGAGACCCCAGCAACGCCCCCTTCCTGTAAATACCGACCTCATGTCAACAAACAGAAGAATAACATACAAAATAGAGGGGAAAACAGAAACCGAGGTACTTACCTTGGCAGCCTAAGCGACCTGCCCAACAACCAAGACCTCCACCTCGGCAGCTATCCCTGCCTGCAAAGAGAAACAGTACTTCAACAAAACAAGCCAAATCAACATAGAAAATAAATTAAAGTACAAAACACCTACCTCGGCAGAGGGAACAACTTGCTCAGCGGTCCCCGCTACAGCCACTTGGGGAACCTCCCCAAGCGGAGGGCTCCCAGTAAGATCGACTACATCAGCATCCGCAGCCTTGGAAGTCACCTCCTCCGTTCCGTGAGGGGCAGAGGTCCCCCCGACCTCTTTCTCGCCCCTCTTTCTTTTTTTATTAACCTTCAGGGGGGACATCTCCTCCTCTTGAGGCTCGGGGACCTCAAGCTCGGCAAGATTGTACCGATGCTTCAGCTCCTTCCACTTACTCTTGCCCATTATACCTACAAATACAAAAAGCAAAACACATCAGCAAAAGAAGATTTCGCTAACCCTAACAATCTAAAGAGGGCGAAATACTCACTCTCCAGGCCCCTCTCCTTGTATGCTGAGTTCGCAAGCGACAGAACGAGCTTGCAATCCAGCGGACGAGGAAGCACTACGAGGTTCTCGACGGCGGCCGCCTCCGAAGCCGTCAGCTTCAATTAGCCCACCCCATGAAACCTAGACGGTTTGGGGCACCAATAGAAGGGGAACTTCGGCAACCCGCCAAAGTAAAATACCTCATCCTCCAATGGGTCGACGTCCACAAGAGCAACTCGGAAAAACTCTTGCTTATAGTTTTTATATGACTGGGACTAGAGAGTAAACAAACCCCCATCCCTACTCCCACTCAAAGACAATATGTCGTATGGCGGAAAGCCTATCTTCAAATGATAAAAATGAAGAAAGACGGGAAGGGACTCCTCTATCCCTAAAACTGAACACAGGACTTGAAAAGCCCTCAAAAAACCCCAACTATTTGGGTGCAACTGGCAAGGAGCCAAGTTGATAAAATTCAAAAAATCACACTCAAATTGAGTGAAAGGAAGACAGACACCTAAATCCCTAAAAAAGCAATGATACATATAAAAATGGGGTGGGTCGGTGGACTTCCCCATGTACACGCCCTCACCGGCCTGACAGGGCTCAAGCCGGATCATCCAGAAAACAGAAGGGTCACAAACCCTACACAACCTCGGGATCCCATTCACCTCAAGAAAAGACCGAAAAACACTATGGACCCCCGCCATCTCACGCTTGACCCAGTCGTAGCCAGTGATCCCTGGCTCCACCTCCTTCCTTTTACCAGCGACGGCCGTTCCGGCAGCCGCCGCCTTGCCCCGCGCCTTGCCTTTACCCTTGACAGGCGCGGAGGAACCAGCACCACTTCCACCAGCCATCAAAGAAACAGGAGGACTCGAAAAAGATTTGGAAAGAAAAAGAAGAAGATTTAGGAAGAAGAAGAAAGGAAACTGTAGAAAGGAAGTACCTGGTACTCTTCCTCAGAAAATAACCCTAACAATGACTGGGTTACCGGAAATGGCGACAGAAACAGAGAAAACGAAGGCGGAAACTGAACAGAAATGAGAGCGTAGAAGGCAGAGTACTCAAGAAGCCAAACAAGAAAGAAAGCGAAAATGAGTAAAGTGAAAGGCCAAGAGGCGCGAATGCGAGAAAAAGGTCTTTTTCCAAAATCCAAACGGCCACAACACGTGTCGGCCAGGGGGCACAACTGGCGACACATTTAATTACCCCCATTATGATGAGCATCAGTTGTAATTGCATAATCGTCACCCTCTCTCACGCGCCGCCTGCACGCTTTCGGGAAATGACGGTTACGACACATGGCACCTTGACAGGCCAACGTACGCGAAGGGTCACTGCTCCCTGTTGAGCTCGGTCTTAACTCCTCGACCTATGGACTTTGGAGCTCGGGGGGCTAGTGTACTATCCGTACCGCGAGCCGAGCTCCCAGCTCGGCATCACAGCGCATGACGACCTCGGATACGCGCTACGTGACGTCAGCTCGTCACTTAACCAGATCATAACTGATCTGAGGAGATCTCGGTCCAGATGAGATCCGATATCTAGTTAAATCACAACTGATCTCAAGCCCAAGGCCCAATACAACCCCAATTCACAACAAGGTACGTGCATTACTTATACGAGACTTATACTCACAAACCCTAACTTTAGCATCGGAGTCTCTTTTGCAGGTACCACCCCCATCTTGGAGCACCAGCGTACCAGTAAAGGAGGCTCACTCATCTTACTTGGCGGATCATCCCTACGACAAATTCCCAGTAAGAACAACAATTATTATTTTATATATACTAGGAGGAAAAAGGCACTTCATGCCTTTAATATTTTCAAAAGTAAAATAAAAAAAAATTAAAATAAAATAGTGTAGGTGATTATTCAGAGTTGGTTAATGGTAGTTACTAAAATTATTTTTTTCTTAATAATTAAGGGTATAATCGTCCATCAATTGTCGAGACGAAAAATAGTTACGGGAATAAGTATTTCCTTTATATATTATTATAGATAAATTATTGTGAAATATTTTGCAATACAATATATCAGTTGCTAAACAAATATTATATTGGCAATCAAAAAAATTAGTTGTTAAATGGAATAAAAATAAAATGTAATACTTTACGACTAAATATTCAGTTGCTATATAAATTATCAAAAAAAATTCAAATTAAACAATTTTTTTAATATTTAATATCAATATTTCCTATAAAATTCAAAATAACATAACAAATATATTTTATTTTAGTATATAAATTTTATGTTGTAATTCTTTACAATTTTATTTATAAAAAAAACCTAACGTAAAGGTGACTTATATTATAATATAGTCATGGATAAAAAAAATTATAATATAGTTTATTTTAAATAAATGAAGACATTTAAATTATAAGTATCTTATATTAGTAAGAAAGAGACTTGATACTGTATGTTTATTTAGAAAATATAAAAAAATAAAAAGTATATAGTTAAAAATAAGAAAAAAAATAATATATAGAAGTAACTATAAAAAAAAATAATAGAAGTTAAATGATAGCAGGTGATTTGTGATTAGAAATTTAATAGTTTGAAGTAGTTACAAGAGTAAAATAGTCTAAGAAATGAGGACACTGATGGAGGCACGAGGGGCTGCGTTCATGGAATGAGGGAGGTCACATGAGGGAGAATGACTGATGTGGAGTGACGAAGGCACAATGGACTACATTCCTGGAGTAAGGGAGATCAAGAGAGGAACACATATGCAAGGGAGAATGATTGACCAAGAGCGATGGATGCTCGAGCGACTATGTTTGTAGAGCAAGGGAAACCAAGCAAGGGACACACATGCAAGGAAGAATGACATGGGGGAATGTTTCATAAATAGTTACGGTACTTTTATTATTGGTTAAATTTTAATTGATCTTAAAAATGTTAGAAAAGAATGGCCCAATCCAAGAGGGGGATTTGCGAGGGGTTAGCTAGGGATTTATGAAGGACCTCAATTGATATATTGCAGCAGAGTTGCGAGGAATTAGCTACAATATCGCAAGGGATAATTGCGACGGAGTGGCGAAAGATTAGCGAGGAAATAATTAAACAATATTTTGCGATAGAGTAGCGACAAAGTAGCTAAGGATATCTTGCGAATGTTTTGTGACGTTTTAGCGAGTAAATATTAAATGCAATTAGCGAGGAAATTTAGGTTCTACATTTGCGAGGCGATAGCGACGAATTAGCGGCACAAATTTGCGACGGACTAGCGAAGATGGTTGCGAGGGAAAAGCGAAGGAATGTAGCGAGGGAATTGCGGGGGATATGCATCCATCGGTAATTAGCGACTTGAATTTAGCGAGGGAATAGTCCTTCGCAACTCCCTCGCTAATCCCTCGCCATTTTGTTTAGCGAGGGATTTGTGAGGGATTTGCGAAGGATCTTTCCCTCTCTAATTCGCAATTTTCTTATAGTGAACATGTCTATTTGGGTTGATTAAGACTCTCATCAACAGCTCAAATAGGAGCATTTAACATAAAAGAAAGTTTTTGCCCAACTCAAACAATAATGTCTAAGGTTAAAACTCTAGTTGTAGAAGAACCTACTAAAGCCATCCCTATAGCCCAACACACCTCATTAGTAGCACTTGTTACAAAAGTTGAGACTATTGAACTAGCTGATGATAATGGAAAACTATCACTTGAAATGTTTGCATTAAAAGACATACCTTTGAGCTTGGGCACCTCCTAGTTCTACTTGACCCTCCACTACTAGAAGGATTGTATTCTAAGTCAGTTATTTTGCCATATCTACATTGGTTTTAAAACTGACTTAGATAAGGCCGTCGTAGATGAATGAACATATCTACGTCGGTTTTTAAAACTGACTTAGATGCATTTATACATTTAAGTCAGTTTTTACAAAACTGTCTTAGATGTGCACATACATCTAAGTCGGTTTTTATCAAAACTGACTTAGATGTATATATACACATCTAAGACGGTTTTTATTCAAAACCGACTTAGATGTATATATGCACATTTAAGACGGTTTTTATTCAAAACCGACTTAGATGTGCATATATACGGTTTTTGCTTAGAACCGCTATAGATTGTATTTTTTTTAACCAGGTTAATTTTTAAAATAAAATTGATTCAATTATAAATAACCTGCAAAAACTGATTCAATTATCCAATGTAAGAGAAACCAACAGAGACCAATTTGGGATCGTTATCATTATAGAAATGGCTCAATTACATCATTATATAATAAATATAATACTAAAGAAACAATATACTTGGAAACCAAGAGAGGCTAATCTAGTATCCATAAAGAAGAGTTTTTCTCTTACAAGGAGAAGAAAAGATCAAAAAAATTAGGTCACACTACATTAGACATGCACTGGGAAGCCTAATACTGAAAGCACATTCACCTATTTCTAAATTTTACATGTAATACTAGACCTTTTAACATGATCTATTTCTAAATTTTTCTAAAAACAAATTTCCCCAATGAATCCGAATGTCTTCCAATTTGGTTTCCCCCAATGGTGTAGCATCTTCAAAAAGCTGCAACATATATACATCATATATTAGTTACATCATAAAAAGAATTAAAAGAAATTAGTATTTTTAAATGTACCTCACTCCAACCATTTGTTACTCCCCTTGAGTTGATTCACCACTCCATGAATCTCAACAAAAAGTACTTTTAAGATCAGTTATTCTAGGATCGATCTTAAAAGTTATGTCTGATACAACTTTAAAGATCGGGTATTAAAAGAGTTGATCTTGTATACCACTTTTAAGATTACTTCTTTTGCAACTGATCTTAAAAGTTTTGTCAGACATACCTTTAAGATCGATCATAAAATAATTAATCTTAAAAGTGATCACATTATTTAGAAAATTGTCACCAGTCACTTTTAAGATCGGTTACCTCTTAATCGATCTTAAAACCCTAATTTTAAAAACTAATTATTGCACTAGTGACCATACTACAAAAAAAAGTATCTTGTAGTCATACAATTCTTGTTACTAAAAACTATTTTTACTTATACTATAAATATAATATATGTTAGAATATTGTTAAAAAAGTGTAGGTATATATATAATATATAGTGAAGGAAACCTTATGGAAGAACCGAATTGATATGACTTATCCTTCAAGTTCTTTCCTAGATCTTTTGCTTCTTGGCACTTCTCAAGCTTCGTCAAGGTTTCCAATGGAGGAAGAGCTCTCTGGTTTCACCTTCAAAAGTGAGGAACTCTCTTCAAGTGGTGCCACTTCAAGGTAGAAGATAAACCATTTTAACTCTCACCACACTCTTAGGAAGAGGATAAGATAAGAGAATTGGAAGCAAATCAAAGAGAGAATTTAGAATTTTAAGAGAGAGAGAGAAATCAAAGAATAAATCTTGGCCAAATCTCATAAAATGCATCAAAAGTGAGTTTTAGAAGTGAAACAGCCTATATAGTGGTGGAGAAGCTTATAGTGCAAGCTAGATAAGGGGAGACAAGGTTGAGACACTTAGATCTAGAATAGTCAATCATAGAGTGCCAAGTGTCATATCTTCTCTTAGGAAACAAGGAGGAGACACTTAGACCTAGAAGATTCAATCATAAATTGCCAAGTGTCACATTGTCCCCTTGGCAAGCCAAGAGACAAGGTGTGTTGGAGAAACTACTAATTTTGATCATAGAGGAGGATAGGCGGCCAATGCTTGTTTTCCTTCATCTAATCCAATCCAAAATCTTGAAATTAGTTTGTTTAGGTTCATCAAATGATGGTGAGACCTAGGTAAATCAATTCCTTGGATTAAATGGAAAAAAATAAGCCTAATATGTAAAATTTGGCCTAGGCCCACTAAAGGCCCATTTACTAGTTTCACCTACACATTTGCCACTTGCTACCCCACTACTAAACTAAAAATATGAAAATATATGACCCTTAATACAAGGTCAAATGAAGTAAAAGTCTCCAAGCAACATACCCTAAAATCCTATGGGTATGACCTACAAAGAAAAATAAAGGTGCCTAACAAATACATAGACAAAAATAAGTCTATACAAGCATCTACTATATACAAGGTACAAGAACTTAAACTATATAAGGTATGTACAATAGAGACTATGAAACTAAAAAAGAAGAATCATACTCAATGCTCATATAGAGCATAGGTCTAAGAAACACCTCTGTTGTAGAAGTCTCCTCTAACTTCCTAATCATGGACCTAGTTAAAGGTCCAATGGTCTTCAAGTGTAGGCTCTCTATGGATGGTCCTCCATCATATAGTGACACATTATATATGTTGTTGAATCACATTCAAAATTAACATTATCATGGAAACTTTTACAATAAGTATTCTTATACTACCAAACACAACAATTATTACATTTTTTATTTAGCTAGCCTTTTTAAACTTACAAGATAAGGCAAGATTTGTGTTTATTGGATAACTCACATAAATAGGATAAATAAGTTAAAAACACTCAAAGAAATTTGCTTGCTAAGGCAAGGATGTTCACTAGATGAAGATTACAAAAAGCTTAGAAGATTTTTTATTATCAAAGTTTGGGCACAACTAATAAGAACATGTATGCACAGTATTCACAAAGCTCTCATTTTTCTCTTCAAGTCTTATTGTTATTTATAAGCTTCATGAATATATTTGTTATAGTGAGATCCCTTTAACTTGGTCATTATGACATAAGATCAACGATATTTGAATATCTGATCATTCTTCACTTGTTTAGAGCTTCATGAATATCTTGGCATGATAAGTGAATGGGGTAAAAAAGGCTTGATTTAATCATATATAACCCTTTAGGCACTGACTTTCTTTTCTAGAAGCCCATTCACTAGTGCAAAAATTGGATTTAAAATCAGAGTTTTAAGATCGGTTACAAGCTAACCGATCTTAAAAGTGACGCGGTGACAATTTTGTAAATAAGATGAATACTTTTAAGATCGGTTAAAATTTAACCGATCTTAAAAGTGGCACTTTTAAGATTGGTTACAAAAGAACCGATCTTAAAAGCACTTTTAAGATCGGTTATAAAGGAATCGATCTTAAAAGTGACATTTTTAAGATCGGTTATAAAAGAACCGATCTTAAAAGTGGCACTTTTAAGATCAGTCATAAAATAACCGATCTTAAAAGTGCCACTTTTAAAATCAGTTATTATAGAACCGATTTTGTATGTAGTATACAAAATCGGTTCTTAAATAACCGATTTTAAAAGTATCGTCAAAAATCTTTTATATTCTCCTTCATTCTCATTTTCTTTAATCTTTCTCATTTTCTAAAGTCTCCAATAAGGTAAATTTCGTTGTCATTTTCATCTTCTTGTGTCTCTTTTCATTTTCTCATGTTTTTCTCGTCTCAATTTTCGTTGTAGGTTCAGTTTGGGTTAATTTCGAACCTGGAACGGTCCATTCTGCAAGGAGAACGGGCCGTACTCCATGGAGAACGGGCCGTTCTTCAAGGAGAACGGGCCATACTCCATGGAGAACAGGCCGTTCTGCAGGGAGAATGGGTCATTCTCCAAGGAGAACGGCCCGTTCTCCATTGAGAACGGGCCGTACTCCCTGGAGAACAGGCTGTTCTTCAAGGAGAACGGGCTGTACTCCTTGCTGAACGGGCCGTACTAAAAGTCACTTTTAGGGCTTTTGATCAGACTTTTGGAACAGGTCGTTCCAGTTTAATTATTTTCCCCATCCAGACTTTTAAGATCGGTTATAAAACAACCGATCTTAAAAGTTAACTTTTAAAATCGGTTGTTTAACCGATTTTAAAAGTCTAACTTTTAAAATTGGCTCTTTCAAAATCAGTTACAAAAGCGATTTTAAAAGTAAAAAATAACCGATTTTAAAAGTCTTTTTTCCGCTAGTGATTGGGTTTTGCATTACTATATCATTTTGCACATATACATAAAAGAGCAAATCAAACATTTTTCCTGGTGTAAAAATTATTAGAACACTTATTAAAGATTGTTTTTGAATGTTTATATGTTTGTTTTGTGGCGCGCATATCGTTCAAATAAGTGTTGGACTTGTGAACTCTAAAGACATTGAAACTAGTCTTATTGCATTGGAGATATTGGACTCAAATGCTGATTAACCCATTTTAGAAACAATGCATGTATTTTTCCTATATACAAGAAAATAATTTGATATTAAAAATTTTACAACAACTCAAGCACATTGTTTAACCAAATAAGTTAGACCTCTTCATAAGCAATGCATGTATTTTAAAAAAGAATACAATCTTTTTATATAAATACTTTTAGTATGAATAACCTTTTAAATTTAATTTATATATAATATAAAACTTATTTTACACAAACGTCTAATAAAAAATGATTATTTTATTACAAAATCATGTTTCTCCCGCTTTTTCATGTAACAGAATTAGTTCATGTAAAATTTATCAATTATAAATAATTTATTGCTAACAATTTCCCTAAAATGTAAAGATTTTGTTTTTGGAAAATTAAGGTATTTTTTAAAATGAAAGTTAAGGACTAACAATAAATGTTTTTTTATATATATATATAAATACTAGTCAAAGATTGAAATATACTAATCATATACACTTAAAAGGACAAATATCTACCAACCATATTACTACATGTTGGTACATTTAGACTAGACATAGATTAAGGAACTCATACTAAATGAAACTAATTTACTTTTCCAATTCAATTGAAGACAAAAGTTAACAATGAAGCTTCTTGTTCTATCTTGTTCAAGTATATTTCAAAGACTTCGAGATTAAGAATTTAAATTTCAATGATAAAATGGGATTAAGATCTTCTTACCGAATTTAGTTTGTCTTATTGAATTAGTTTAGTTTTTGTTTAATAAATAGATATGGATCTAAATGTTTGACATGTATAGGACTCTGGATGAAGTAAAAGAGGAGCATGTTCAGACATACCAGGAAGATGAAAGGCAACGCATGCATAGGACTCTGGATGAAGTAATGGAGGGAAATTACTATTAAAAAATCACATGTTAAAAAAGAATATATAGTAAACAAATGAAACACTCACAAATAACTGAGTATACAAATTAACTGATACCTAATCTAGTATCCATAAAGAAGAGTTTTTCTCTTACAAGGAGAAGAAAAGATCAAAAAAATTAGGTCACACTACATTAGACATGCACTGGGAAGCCTAATACTGAAAGCACATTCACCTATTTCTAAATTTTACATGTAATACTAGACCTTTTAACATGATCTATTTCTAAATTTTTCTAAAAACAAATTTCCCCAATGAATCCGAATGTCTTCCAATTTGGTTTCCCCCAATGGTGTAGCATCTTCAAAAAGCTGCAACATATATACATCATATATTAGTTACATCATAAAAAGAATTAAAAGAAATTAGTATTTTTAAATGTACCTCACTCCAACCATTTGTTACTCCCCCTACATCCAATTCATGACATAGTATCCACATTCATAATGTCCTTGTTGTTTATAACTCTAAAACGAACACCAAATAAAGTAGTAATAATAGTTTTGTTTAATTAAGGTAATAAAAGAATTTCTTAGGCACATTGACTTTAATTACGAACCACTTACTTGTCATGGGGTAAATCCATTCTAAGTTCTTTGATAGTGCAGTAGATATACCACTCATGACATTATACACAGCCATAACACTAAAGAAAATAAAATGAACGTAAGTTACATAATTAAAATTTTATAATAAAGAGCATAAAAGTAAAACACGTATTACAAATTAAAATTTACCTTTTAACTAAATGTTTGACATGTATAGGACTCTGGATGAAGTAAAAGAGGAGCATGTTCAGACATACCAGGAAGATGAAAGGCAACGCATGCATAGGACTCTGGATGAAGTAATGGAGGGAAATTACTATTAAAAAATCACATGTTAAAAAAGAATATATAGTAAACAAATGAAACACTCACAAATAACTGAGTATACAAATTAACTGATACAATGTTATTGCAGTTTAATTAATATTTTTGAATTTAAGTTCTGTACATCATAATTATTAAAATATTTGGAAGAAAAGTTCTGTCCATAACAATTTTAAATAAGATTGTTTCTGCTAAATGATACTTGTGTTCTTTATAGAAAAAAAATTACATATTTTAAATATGCTAGATTGAATTTATTTCACTACAAAAAAAAGTAAATAATGTTTCTTATTAGAAATAATAGTGGTTAAAATCATCATTATTTACATAAATAATGATTTCTTACATCGCCATAATTCTTTTAACTACGTTAATAATGACTTTTTAGATTTAGAATGTGGCAGTTCAAACTATCAAAATTGTATGAAAATAATGAAACTAATCTAGTATCCATAAAGAAGAGTTTTTCTCTTACAAGGAGAAGAAAAGATCAAAAAAATTAGGTCACACTACATTAGACATGCACTGGGAAGCCTAATACTGAAAGCACATTCACCTATTTCTAAATTTTACATGTAATACTAGACCTTTTAACATGATCTATTTCTAAATTTTTCTAAAAACAAATTTCCCCAATGAATCCGAATGTCTTCCAATTTGGTTTCCCCCAATGGTGTAGCATCTTCAAAAAGCTGCAACATATATACATCATATATTAGTTACATCATAAAAAGAATTAAAAGAAATTAGTATTTTTAAATGTACCTCACTCCAACCATTTGTTACTCCCCCTACATCCAATTCATGACATAGTATCCACATTCATAATGTCCTTGTTGTTTATAACTCTAAAACGAACACCAAATAAAGTAGTAATAATAGTTTTGTTTAATTAAGGTAATAAAAGAATTTCTTAGGCACATTGACTTTAATTACGAACCACTTACTTGTCATGGGGTAAATCCATTCTAAGTTCTTTGATAGTGCAGTAGATATACCACTCATGACATTATACACAGCCATAACACTAAAGAAAATAAAATGAACGTAAGTTACATAATTAAAATTTTATAATAAAGAGCATAAAAGTAAAACACGTATTACAAATTAAAATTTACCTTTTAACTAAATGTTTGACATGTATAGGACTCTGGATGAAGTAAAAGAGGAGCATGTTCAGACATACCAGGAAGATGAAAGGCAACGCATGCATAGGACTCTGGATGAAGTAATGGAGGGAAATTACTATTAAAAAATCACATGTTAAAAAAGAATATATAGTAAACAAATGAAACACTCACAAATAACTGAGTATACAAATTAACTGATACAATGTTATTGCAGTTTAATTAATATTTTTGAATTTAAGTTCTGTACATCATAATTATTAAAATATTTGGAAGAAAAGTTCTGTCCATAACAATTTTAAATAAGATTGTTTCTGCTAAATGATACTTGTGTTCTTTATAGAAAAAAAGCAGTCGTATCTACCCCTCATTTGGCCATGAAATTTCCGGCTGAGTCAGGACGAGTCTTCACGGTTCATGCCGACCAAAAGACGGCGCGGGAGTGTTACTTCGCTAGTTTGCGACTGCCAAGGATAAAAGACGAGGAACCCAGGAGGCCGAGTGGGGTTCACTCGGTGTCCCATCATTCGACTGTGGACCTCGATCCCCGGATCGATTAGGAGGAAAGAGTCGAGCCTGTTGATGACAAGCAACCGATTCAAGTAGGGGTGTTGGAGTCACAAGTCACTTATATAGGAGCCAACCTATCCGAGTGGGAACAATTGGCTGTCAGCCAAGTGATCCTCAAAAATAGTGACGTATTTGCTTGGCATCCCTCCGACATGCCCGGCATTGATCCTAGTTTCCTCTGTCACAAGTTGTCCATAAGCAAAGAAGCAAGACCGATCGCTCAACGGCGTCGAAAGGCTGGGGAGAACAGGAAGGCGGCAATAGAGGCCGAGGTGAGTAAGTTGCTAGAGGCCAAGTTCATCCGGGAGGTACACTACACAACTTGGCTAGCTAATGTAGTAATGGTCAAGAAACCGAATGGGAAATGGCGCATGTGTACTGACTACACCAATTTGAACAAAGCCTGTCCGAAGGATGCCTATCCGCTACCAAACATTGATCGGCTCGTCGATGGGGCATCTGGCCACAAATTCCTGTCATTCCTTGACGCATATTCCGGATATAACCAAATCCGAATGCACCCTCAGGATGAAGAGAAAACGGCGTTCATCACCGAAACAGCCAATTACTGTTACCGAGTTATGCCCTTCGGCCTGAAAAATGCCGGAGCCACTTACCAACGGTTGATGAACAAAATTTTCAGTGACCACATTGGCCGATGTATGGAGGTGTACGTTGATGACATGGTAGTAAAGTCAAGTAGCGTATCTGTACACGCACAGGACTTGACTGATGTGTTTCACGCGCTTCGGCACCACCAAATGAGACTCAACCCCGACAAGTGCGTATTCGGGGTCTCAGGCGGCAAGTTCTTAGGGTTTATGTTGTCCAGTCGCGGCATTGAAGCAAATCCTGACAAGTGCCAAGCCATTCTAAGCATGAAAAGCCCAAGTACCCTGAAAGAAGTTCAGAAGTTGGCAGGCCGGCTCACTTCGCTCTCCCGCTTTCTTCCTTGCCTAGCTGAGATAGCTAGACCCATCCTCCTCTTGCTCAAGAAGACCGAGCGGTTCCAATGGACCCAGGAGTGTGAAACATCATTCCAACATTTCAAGGAGCGCCTTAGTACACCCCCAGTCCTTTCCAAACCAGTTGCCAACCTTGACATGATCGTATACTTAGCGGTCTCCGACAGCTCAATTAGCGCTGCGCTAATACAAGAAAACCGAGAAGGGCAACAACTAGTGTATTTCATCAGTCAGACTCTGCAGGAGGCCGAATGACGATACCAGTTAATTGAAAAGGTAGCCTTAGGACTCATCTACACTGCTCGTCGACTCAGACAATACTTTCATAGCCACAAGATAATTGTTCGGACCGATTGTCCAGTGGCAAAAGTATTAAGAAAACCAGAGATTGCCTGCTGAATGATGGCATGGTCGGTTGAGCTGTCAGAGTTCGATTTGTCTTTTGAGCCGAGAGGTCCCATCAAGTCGCAGCACTTGGCCGATTTTGTTAACGAGCTTACCCCTTCGGGGCGTTTTGAGGACGAGCCGTGGACCTTGCATGTCGATGGGTCTTCCAACGCCCAAGGCAGCGGAGCAGGAGTAATACTGGCTAGTCCCTTAGGCGTCACAATCGAGCAGTCCCTTCGGTTCGGTTTTCGTGCCTAGAATAACCAAGTAGGATCCATTGTTGGGGTTGACTATAGGGAGACAAAATCACTTAAAAAGGGAAACTGTTACATAGTTAGCACAAGCCCTCCAAATGTATACAAAGCTTACCTTAATCAGTTTCAAAAAGACTTTAAATTGTTTCTGAAATCACGTTCGGAGGAACTTGTGTATGGAGGAGCAATGGTCTTGGTGTTTTCCGGCAACACTGGAACTCCTAGAAGAACTTGTTGGGAAATAATTAGTCTAATACTCAATGACATGTTCTTGGAGGTAAATAACAAATTTTCTTTTATTGATTAATGTCTCTTGAAATTAATCATGTCTTTATATTTAAGAATATATTCATGCCGCAGGGTTTGATTGAAGAAGAAAAATTGGATTCCTTTAACATACCAGTGTTTGAACCTACGATTGAGGAAGTAAGGCATGTAATTAAGGAAGAAGGATCATTCTTTGTTCAAAGATTAGAGATTTGTAACGTGCCTTGGGATGAGTGCATAAATGATGATGGTGGTGATTTTTTTCTTGATGGAAATATAAGAGCCAAAGTCATCACCAAGCACGCAAGAGCAGTAATGGAGCCTCTCTTATCCGTAAGTTTTGGTGCACAAGTTATAAATGAAGTATTCATCAGGTTTCAAAAGAAAATTGTGCAACTTATGGAGGTGGAGAAATTGGAGAGTGGTGCATTTGTGATGTCCGTTACAAAAATTGCTTGAAGAGGTTTTTCTCGATGGAAGATCTTAAAAATTCTTTTGTGGATTTGTTTTGATTTGGTGAACTGAAGAAGCTACTCTAGTTCAAGCTTAAAATCTATATATCAGTGTGTCACAAATATTAAAAATAATGACTTAAGAGTGTGAGTTAGTACTTAGTAGACAAGTATGTAAAGTTATGGCACAAATTTCTTCCATATTTCCTGTTTTAAGGAAAACACGTTTCCTTGATTTTAGGCCATGATTGGAAAAAGCGAAATAACTCAAAATCATCCGGTGAAGATGTTCAATATTGTAATCGCAGTAAATGTGTCAAAGTGTGTCATTCAAATGTCACCAATGGTGAGTGATAGTATGTCCTAATGTTACATATTAACAATAAGAAATATTTTTCTGTCAAAGTATTTAATTATATAAAGCACTTTAAAATGTAATTAATATATGAATGTACATTTTACAATTGCAGGAAATACTATTCCAAGTGATCATTCCCGTGAGCATTATCTAAATGATTTTATTGGAGGAAGTGCATCTAATAAAATAGAATTATGTAGTATTCCATTGTCGGATATTACTAATGGTAAAATTAAATTTTGTAAAAGATGTTTCATTCTATTTATATATATGTTTAAAAATTAATGATTATTCATATTTTGTTATCATTATTACTTGGTGCCAACAGTCAAAATGTTTCTCCCTCTTTTGCTATAAATAAACTATTATTTGGTAAAGTTGCACCTATGCAACGTCGATGTAATATGTCTCAATCTTCTGATGTAACAATTGCCAGGTTAACAGGTTAGTACTAAACAAATTTTTTTTGATCTATTATTTATTTCTCAAAATTATTTATGGAGAAACTTATTTACAAGGTTAGTTTTTTTTTTCAGTTAATGATAGCACACATAATGTACATTGATCTAACACTGTCTTAAATAGAGTTGTTAGAAGAGATGTATGTATGAAAAAACAATTTACAATCTTCATTGTCGAATGTCACAAATGATAATTTATGGAGTCTTATTTCTTTTAATATAACTATATTATTTAATTTTATAATGTTTATATTTACCATTTCTTATTTGATTATCCTTTTAGGTTGTGATTTTATAGTTAAGATATTATCTAGCCAAAGAGAAAACTACACATCAAATCAAAACAATGAATTTGATGACAAGTTGTTCAAAAAATGTGAATCAAATCATAATAACCATGCACAAGGAAAGAACCACAAAAATTAATATGGAACAATGATAGATTAATAAGAACTTCATAGCAAAATGTACTCATTAGATACCTCCCCCCCTCTGACGAATCCGTTTGAAGTATCCGTTCAGTCCTTCTTACCCAGAAGACTACGAGTGTATCCTTGAGCAGGTACAAATGGTTTTTGTCAAAATATAAAATTTATCTGAATATAAGGAAAACCTAATGCAGACAAATGGATTTCGTTATCTCATGGGAAAAGCCACGATGTTACAGATTTATCGAAGATTTAAGTGCATTCTTGATACGAATTATTGTTGTCGAAAATAAATAAATTAATGCATGACCATTTTAAATTGTAAAATTTTTCATTGGTCCAGAAACATTTATTGGTGATTGTGTCACGAAGTTGCCATCCAAATAATTGACATAAAATGGTTGTTAAAAATAAAAGGAAAATAAAATGGACCCAATAAGATGATGTTGTTTGTTATATTATATTATATTATATTACATTATATTATATATATATATATATATATATATATATATATATGAAATGGACCTAAAATGGTTGTTAGGAATAACAAGAAAATAACCAGCTCTAAATGTGTGGGGCAAATACATGGAGACAATTGAATAGAAAATGGTATTGATAATGTACCTGTTCATAGTGGGGGATACGGGTAGTTGTCCTAAGCACCAATAATTTACAGTAATAACCAATACGTGCATGCGTGTTATCCTATTAATTGTATTGATTTGCCCTAAACTTTGAAAAATATTTATGGTATGTAGATTTTGTCCGCACACATTAAAATAATTATTAAACTTTCATGTTTTTTATATTAATAATATATCCCTGACCAGTGAAATATTCGATTATTCTCGATGCTGATCAATGTCATTAGTCAATTTTCTCTATTTCTCAAAATAATAAGAAAAAAAAAACTTCGTTTGAATGTTTCTTGTTTATATATATATATATAAGATTATGGCCAATCAAAAAGAAAGGTGTCAATTCTTGTTTAGACTTATTAATGAATTCCAAATAGCTAAGGTAAGGTTACATTATAAAATATAGTGACCCTACCAAAAAAAAACAAAAAAAACTTTTGACAACACATTTTTAATAGTACACGTCGTTCATAAATGTTGTTAAATGGAATAAGATAAATAAGACAACACATAAAAAACTAAATGCTTAATATATTGAAGAATGATCAATTTACTCCAATAATAAGTTTCTGTATATATATTTATTTTACTTAATAACTCATATTTTACATCAAATTTTAAAAATTTAATTGGTAAACTAAAAGTTCTTAATGTGTAAATAAAATCTACAAATTTTTTTAAAAAAATCGAAAGTCATATGATATTTTGTTATATAAATTCAAATCAACATAGAAAATGATTTAATGATTGTTAATCAATTTGAATTAATAAAACAAAATATCAAATTATTTTTAAATATTTTTAATAATTTGTAGACTTAAACTATGCATTAAAAACTTTTAATTTAGGTTAAAAACCTATTTTAGTCTCTTATAATAATTGTTTGTTTCAATTTAGTCCCACTATTATTTTTTGTCTCAATTTGGTCCCTAATAAATTAATTGGTTTCAATGTGGGACTTCCGTCCAAATTATTTAAACGGAATTAACTGTTGGCCACGTGGATGCCACGTAAATGCATAGGTGGATGCCACGTGGATGCCAAATTTCTTGAAAACACCTGGAATCAGAACGGGCTGTTCTGGGTGCACTATTGGTGTGTTAATTTTTTATCTAAAACGGGCCGTTCTAGATGCAAAATTAACACACTACCAATACATCAGAACGACACGTTCTAAATCCAGAATGGCCCGTTCTAAAACCAGAATGGGCCGTTCTGGATTCAGAACGGTCCGTTCCAGAACGCCAGTTAATTAAAAACAATAGAATATTCTATATTAATTTTATTAAAAATAATAATAATTTTGAAAAATATTTTTTTATGGTAAAAATTTTAAAATTACTTATTTTTATAAAATACAATTGTCTTATAAATAGAGTGATAACTTTTCCTTTTTCCCTTTCTGTCTGAAGAAATATTTAAGTGTCACTTTATAATTTTTTGCAACTTATTTAAAATTAGAGGAATAAAATGATAAAAATTAATAGGATAAACATAATAAAATTATTAATTTATTTTCTTTTAGTGTCCTCTAAATTTTTACACTCATTTAAAACAAAAATATTTTATATGTTATTTTGAATTAATTTAACGAAGTATCATATGATTTTTAATTTTTTAAAAAATTTTATAAATTTGATCTATACATGAAAAGCTTTTTAATTTAACAATTAAATTTTTAAAAATTTGATATAGAACATTAATTATTAAGTAGAATAAATCTATCAAGACTTACTCTTGAAGTAAGTAAATTTTTTCTTCATTAAAAATGAAGATAATTTTACCACAAAATAAAAAATAATTAAACAATAAAATAAAATATAAAAAAATATTAATGTATTTATTATATTAAATATAACAACATAATTAAAATATAATTAATAATATATATTTTATAAAATTATTAATATTTTTTATATAAAAAAAATTTTAGTGGGGGCAAGTGCCCCCGCTATGATTAACTTAGATTCGTCCCTGCATGTGGTTGTATGGTGAAATGTTAGTCTTGTGTATCCTCTTCCTTTACTTCAGGTTCTACCCCTTCAAGAACAGGTTCTTGTTGTTAGGGTACATCGTTAATGACTTCAAGGAAAAATACCATGTAATTTCATCCTTTACTGTATAGTGTCAATTTGGTAGTAAGTGGCTCACTGCAGTTTAACTAACAATGAAATAAAATCTGTTACCAGTATTTTTAGTGATACACTGCATTGTCCTTAATGATACACTGTATAGTCCAACTGTTTAGCAATTGAAGTTGTCAATTTCCATTGACAATATTATCAAATCCAGTGTTTGAAATGCTTTGTACCAAATCCACGTGGATGCTGAATTTTTAAAAACAACTAGAACCAGAACGGCTCGTTTTGAAACTAGAACGGCCCGTTCTGGTTGCACTCTTAGTGTGTTAATTTTGCACTCGGAATGGGTCGTTTCGAATGCAAAATTAACACACCAAGAGTGCACCCAGAACGACCTGTTTTGATTTCAGAACGGGTCGTTCTGGTTCCAGGTGTTTTAAAAAAAAATGGGCATCCACGTGTGCATCTACGTGGCTAATAGTTAACTCCGTTTAAATAATTTGGACGGAAGTCCCACATTGAAACCAATTAATTTATTAGGGACCAAATTGAGACCAAAAATAAAAGAAGGACTAAATTGAAACAAACAATTATTATAAGGGACCAAAATAGGTTTTTAGCCTTTAATTTAATGATTGAATTATTGAAATTTAATATAAAATTTGTTATTGTGTGGACTAAGTAGACTCTTCCCCTATGTGTGTGTGTGTTTAAAAAATATTTATACACACACACACACACAAACACACACACACACACATATATATATAGATAGATAGATAGAGAAAAAGAAAGAGAGGGGGGGTGAGAGGGGAGGATAACATGTATTATTGTTGTATCACCTAACTCGATCAAGTTGAGTTGACCTCCTACCAAACTTGGGTAGGTTGAGCTGACCTTCTACTCGCCCATATTGGTCCTCCAACCCACCATCACGAGGAAAAATGCTAGGCGATTAACTCCCAACAGATGGTGAAATATCTTACGTGAATATCTCCTAAAGATCCCAAATTATCATAATTGGGGTACATTATCTTC